GAACGCCCGGCATGTGACGCAAATCTGCGCAGGATTGTAGAGAACAGGAACGCGATCAGTTGTTATGGTGGCGGAAGCTGTCTTATTTTGAGTTCCGGTCGCATGACGTAATTGCACCTGACGAACGATTCACGGAATACCTGACGGGCCATTGTATCTGGACCGCGCAGATAAGATGCTGATATGATATCGGGCGCAAGATAACAGTGGAGCGACGTGACAGAGGTAAACGTTCAACGTAGCACTTTTACGTCTTTTCCGAAAGACCCGACAGTGGCCCCAAAAATATGGCGACGTGACTGCAGTCATGGAGTCCCGATTATCCGGTACCGAAGGACGGTCGGGTAATTCGGAAGACTAATAGAAATTACGAGGGTAGATACCAACTCGGTTTACGACATAATTTCTTTGCTAAGAAACTGGTGTGCTGTAATTCTGGTAGTCTCCTTTTTTCGCTGAGACGTCGCTGTAAGCGTCAGAGAGAGCTGAAATGTCTTGTGTACAACATCTGGCGGATTCAAACTCGCTTTAACGACCCATAATGCAGCGGCCCAAATGCAGAGAAAACATGTGTTCGGTGGCACGACATTCAGAGGAGGCAGATCCTTGCAAAAACAAACTTAAAAAGATATTCTGGAGGGAGAGTTGAACGTTGGACCACCAAATACGAAGCGGGAAGAATGTTTCTGTAGAGCCCCCCCCCCCAAACCCTCATGTCAGTACTGACTGCTTTCATAGAGACAATGACTTGTCATCAACCCGTGGCTCCCGTCCTCACGACAGATTTACAGGACTTGAGAACAATAGCAGGCAGAGACGTTCGTAATATGAAAATGATGCTTGAAAGTTTGATGACATTTTCTCTTACCATGGCTTGAGTGTCGGACTGCACGGGGGCGCCGTGAGAAGCGACGCACGTCGTAACCAAGACAACAGACGTCCTCAGCAGGAGAAAGAGCATCGTCGAAAAGTTGCCGGAGCGACGCGACATGACGCAGGACCGGAGTTCACTGACGAAGAATGTCGACCCACACACACACTGCACACGAGCAACGGAACTCTCCTGTCTGATCCCTGTACAGATATGAGCTACCGCCTCGGAACGAAGCACTTCGCGGGTCCACTGTTCCACTGAACCGCGTTGCGGCCCGAGCTGTCAGTTTTATACTATCTCCTCTCGCGACTACCACCCGAGTGGGAGGGGGGAGGTGTTCTTGCTCAGCGCTGTACACTTGCAGAGAAAGGGAAACCCGTGGCCCCCGCCCGCCCTCCGCGGCCCGCCGTTTAACAATCAGCTGAGCTTTTCAAGATGTGTGTCACTCTTGTGTAAAGTCGTGGAGTCTGTCCTTGTATTTTCACGCCCAATTTCTTATCACTGACGCGCGGAGTTCCGAAGTAAATGAAAGATTTTAGTGGGAAAACCTGTTGGAACGCCTAGACTTTGACCGGGGAATCCTGTTAGAGGGATGTGATTGGGTTAAGGTGTCCCAGGATAGGGTACAGTGGCGGGATGTCGTGAACGTGTTCCGTAATTCCTAGGCCGTTTGGTTGTTTGTCGACACTGCTTCAGTCGATAAGGCTACACAACATCGCAGGAAAAAATTGTGGAAATGGATGGGACCTAGACGTGGAGGTTTCAGGCCTTCCAGGAAGGAACAGTTTAAATATGCACTCTGAACAGCCATTATCAGCATTTTCAAGTTCCGAAGAAAATGGTGTTACGAAAAGCAAAGTCTGAGGGCTCCTCAAGTGTCACGACGGTCGGTCATTCACCCTCGAAGCATATTTAAAGAAATACAAAAGTTCCTCTGACTACGGTATTTGGGTTCTGTGGGGGGGGGGGGGGGG